CCTTTTGGTCCAATGATGATATTTTTCTGAGGGTTGTAAGAAAAACAATAAAATCCTTTTCTTTTTTTGTGAAATTCCTAATTGCTTTTTCCATTGTTTTTGCAGGTACAGGAGATAATGAAGATGAGGGGAGACTTGAAGATCCTTGGACTTTAGGACATCTTAGGATTTAGTTTAGAAACTTAATGTAACCGAAAAATCCAATAATAGTAATCTTGGTAACCAAATGTATCTTGTAATAATAATGTAAATCAAGCTGATTATAATAAAGATTTGTCTTGTAATTCGAACTTGATATCAAATGCACACAGTTAAACCAAAAGAACTCAAACACTCGCAACCAAAAGTCCATCTTTACACCTTAAGAAAGTTAATAAAATGAAACCGTCTGGCCAAATCTTGAGCAGTCAAACCGAACATGTCCAAAGCACCATAATTCCACCATGAACTTGATTTGCAAATTAGAACGGCTTAAAATGGTAATTGGAACACTTCAAATAAATAGAACTCAATCTTTTGTAGCCTTGACCAAAAATAACACTGCAACATCTTGGAAGATCATAAAAATCAAAGCATAATCTATTCTGCTCTTTTAGAAATGATATCCTGTGATTTTGAACCCTCTTGATAAAGACAATACGCCTTTTGAAAATGATCCAGAAATAGCCTGAGACGCTTAAATCGAGAGGAACGGTATCACTAAACTTGACATACCTGCATAAGCTTGTTAGTTGCAATAAACACAAATACGAAAGTATAAAGCCAAACAACGTAACAAACACATAAAGAGGTGGGATCTTAAAATCAAAAATTAGGGTGTGACAGTAGCAATAAAGTTCTTTATTAAGTGTGTTAATACGGGCTTGTTTGACCTTATTAGTTCCCTCATGGGAAAATTATAGAGCATCACACATAGCCTTAGCGGTCTCACAATGAGAAACACGATAAAACTCATCAACACCGAGAGAAGATATCAAAATGGTTTTCGCTTTCCAATCGTGTGACCACTTCTTATTATCTTCTCCATTCCATTGTGCTTCGGGCTTAGGTAAGGTAACACCATCCACAATATGTGTGATTGGTGGTGTAGGTCAAATTATAATGGCCTCCCAAACATCTTTATCATAAGAGTTCACATGAATTTGCATACAAGCTTTCCAATAACCATAGTTTTCTCCTGTAAATATTGGAGCTCTTTTATAATGCCCTTTAGGTTTGTGAGCCATTTTCTAATAAGCGTTTTGAAGCACGAAATCAACCGGACTCTTGATGCCACTTGTTAGACGACGGTGACTTGTCTAGAGGGGGGGTCAATAGACACCCAAGCCAAAGTCACCAAATAAAATTTGGATTTTAAAGTTATTTAAAAAGACTTCACGCGGAAGGTTTTCGTGTAGATCGACAAAATTCGTCTACACAAACCTAGTTATTGGAACTCGGATATGCAAAGCCAATTATGAAATGACAAACACAATAATAGAATTTAACCTTTAATCGAGTATTATATTATTACGCGTTTAAACTAATTACTTAGTATTTCCAATGATAATAAGCAGAAAATATTGAACTAAGCAATTTATCAAACACTTGGTGTGCGAACGAATTTTTATAATTTCTTTTGTGTTGTTGTTGAATGAAAACCACTTATAATAAAAAGTGATTATAAGCTAATCAACAACCAAGTTAAAACAGAAAGATCACAGGAAAATTCTCATGAGTCGATCAATTAACCAATGTTATTTGACAAATTGTGTAATGAAAAATTAAACGAGTAAAGAGATAATAGAGAGATCAACATGAGGATTTGCTCATGCAGTTCCCCACTTTCGTCCTCGTGTGTGGGTACGTCTGCGCCTAATTTTCCAATGTGGGATTAGGATACTTTCTTACTCTGCAAAAAGTCGATGTACAAGAAAAGTATTCAAGAGCAACCGTACAAATACTATCGGTTCTGATGTTGATTAAACCCCTTTTCTTCTTTTGATCTTGAGTAAGACCAAGACAATAATGGATGTCAATTGACTTATCGATATTGCTACTATGTTGCGTTCTTTATCTCTAAGCTTTCGCACACGATCAATTGCACCAATTGTTCCACAAGACTTCAATTTGATTCGTCATTCTCCGTTACTTCCTTTGCGTTCTTTATCTCCAAAGGGTCCTTTGCATACTTATCTCCAAAGGCTTTCACAATGTCGCAATCTTCTCTTGAACATCTTGCACGAAAACCCCCAAACCTTCACTCGATCTTGAAGGACAAACCCGCAGTTTTTCTAGATGAAGATCCCTACAAATATCAACCAAATATCTCGGCTACAGAAGAACTCAATTGGACCTTATCAGGCCTTCGCCTAGCTGGCACCCTAAAAAAAGATTATTATGTGTGACTTGTTAGTGTGTAGACATAAGATGGAGGTTAAATATGATGAGCAAATGCAGGCTAATTTTATGGTATCGCTGGTTTGGAATGAAGCATGAATGATGTATTTATAGTTTTGGAAGATTGGTGGCAAAGAGGTAAATTTAGGAGTAAAAAAAATAACAGAACTGACCCACTTAAACAATATGTGTCGGCCTAAATGATGGATGTGTCGGCACATAATGTCATAAATAACAATATGTGTCGACCTGAACAGACCTATGTGTCAACCCAAATCAAACAGAGGCTACAGCCTTATTTAGGACAGTAGATGTGTCAGCCTGGAGCGCGTATGTGTCGACACATAATATTGAAGCTTCTAGTATGTGTCGACCTGAAGGGACCTATGTGCTGACCCAAATAAAACAGAACCTACAGCCTTATTTAAGACAATAGATGTGTCGGCCTGAAGCACATATGTGTCGGCACATAACATTGAAACTTTGGGTATGTGTCGACCGATATTGAGTTACATGTGTCAGCCTTAAATGTGTATGTGCCGACACATTTGGTGCATTTTTGTGCAGAAAATTGTTTTTCATGATTCCTAAGACCTCTAATGCAATGGAGCCACACATATTTAGAGTTATTATTCAATATACCAAAATGCGAAGTAGTTTCAATATTTTGACATCATGCAAAACATCTTATGGTGAAGTTGCACTCACACGTAGATCTCTTCTTTAGAGTTGTATATTCGTTGATATTACTTCTCTTCCCCTTTTGAGGTTGTAGATCTATTGATCTTACTTCCTTTTCATAGATCTGTTGATCTTTTCTTGGAGTCTTAGATTCGTTGATCTTACTTCTATTCCTCTCTTGGGTTGTAGATCCATTGATCATACTTTCTTTTCATAGATCCATTGATCTTTTCTTTGGAGTCGTAGATTTGTTGATCTTCCTTTTCAGCAACACCACCGCTTTTGTTGAACATATTATTATTGTGAATAGAAAACACACATACAGCTTTTGTTCATTTTTATGTGATATTTCATTGTACTTAAACTTTGTGTAATCTTATTTCTTGAAGCAACTTTGTAAACAAAATACTTGTATCTCATTGTTTGAGGTTGTATTCCTTGAGAGACTAGGATTTTAGTCATGATTCTCGAGAATATAAAGACGAGTAGTCTTTGTGTGTCTAATCTTGTGATTATAGTGGATTAAGTCCTTATTGAGAAGGAAAAATTACTTTGGCAGGTGGACCGGATTAGCTCCGTTAACAGTGAACATGTATAAAAAAATAATTGTGTTCATTTATTTTTTCTCTTGGTTTCACTTTGAGTGTTTGGATACTAAAAGGTTTTAAACTTGAAAAACCAATTAAAACTCATTTCTTGTGTTTCTTGCCACCTTCAGTGCCTGTACTAGTTCGTATTGTTTGATACAATTGTATCGATTGGGATCTTAAGTCCTAAAATAAAAATCTTAGTATTAAAACAGGCTCTTTAAGCTTTCTGAAACATTTTTGTTTTCTTGATTCCGACTCCATTTGATATTTTTAATAATTATTCTAATATGGTGTATAACTAGCAGGAAACATGATGGGGGTTGTTTTGATTAAATGTTATGTGAATTAAGTTGTGAGCGCTTTAGGACACAAGTCCAACGTTTGATGATATATTTGTGTGAAATAAGATGTGGATATTTTAAGGACTTTGGTCCAATGTCTTGATAATATGTATACGAGTTAAGACGCAAGTCCAATGTTGATGTGATTTGTGTTTAGGTTCGAAAGAACCAATGTTGAGATGTTTAGGTTCAAGAGAACTAGTGACGTGACCTTACACTGAAAATTATTTAATGATGATGTGTTTAGGTTCGAATGAACCATTGAAGTGTAGGACTTATTGTTGCACTCCAAAATTTGCCCTCTTGTTTCTAGCCTTTACTAGCTTATGTTTCGCATTCATGTGCATTATTCACTAGGCCATTATATCAATAATTAGGCATTTCATTGAGCTCATAAGGCATGGGATCAAAGCTTTTATTGTGGTTTTGGTTTTCCCTATCTTCAAAGGTGATTGATTTGGTTGTGGCATTCATCAAGACTCGTCAAATTATCAAGTCATGTTCCTCAAGGTTTCTCAAAAGGCACCAAATTAGGGTTTCATCATTTCATTGGTTTAAGGTTGATTATAAGTTTCTATTCACAAATTGCTCAAGATTAGGGTTTTGGTTAAAGTCGACTTGAGGTTAACTTTTTTACCAAAACTTGATTCCGGTTGAGATATAATTCAAGGGTTATTGGTGCACTCTATTGGCCTTCTCAAAGTTATTCAAGTGGATTCAAGATGATATGTAAGGTAGATTAATTCATTTGCAAAAAGTCAACAAAATCTGGAAACATTTGTAAAAAAAAAAACGGCATGGTAGAAAAAAGACCCATAAAATGGGATAAGAAATTTTCTTCTCCTTTAGATAGATTCACAATGAGCTAAGAGTCACTATTGACTTAAAGATGTAATATTCCCATCTCCCTCGTCCCTGCCCCTAAACTAGCTACAATCACAGTCTGTAGCAAACAAATTTCAAATAAGATATGGAACAACGATAGGGTAAAGCTGAAATACCTGAAAATCTAATCATGAGATGCAAGTTTTGTCCCTGCATACAAGTTTAATAGAAAAGAAGACTCCTTCTCATAACGTTTTATAAACTTATCAAGAAACTCCTGCTCAGGCAATGAAAATGGAGAAGCTAAGCTTGCGTTCTTATTTCTCAAACCATTATTACGAAGAAATTGCACAACCAAGGCCCTTGGAGCGATCCTTTTTTCGAAACTTGAGGAAAAAATACTGGGATGTTTGGCAAGGACCAGAGCATCCCAGCCCAATTGATTTACCCAGAAATCCATCACTAAATTAATCTTCTCAATGGAATTTAACATACAATGAGGTTGCTTCTTAAAAGCTTTGACAACATCTTCATCGGACCAACCCCACTTGTTAAAGGCATCAACTTTCTCCTTCCACTTGATTTTGTTTACGGATGTTTTGGCAATGAATGCTACACCAAAAGTTGTTTTCGAAGGATTAAACCCCAAATCTTTTAATTCCTCCAATAAACTCAGCAAGTCATCCCTCTGCAATGCCCGATTCCTGGTTCGAAAAATTCTCATAATATTTGAGTCAGATACTCCATTCTCAAGCAGCATTGTAATGTTTAGCCGCACATGACTGCCCCAGAGTAACTCTGGATTCGAAATTACAGAAGCAATAAGGTCCCTGTCTGATTGCATGAATCTATAAAGCATTTCATATGTTGGGACTATATGCTTTTCCAAGCTAGAAGACAAGATTTGAGGGTTCTTACTGACAAGGCAAACAATGTCAGAGTTAGAAGCACCTTTGGAGAGAAAAAACTGAAACTTTGGCAACACCGTTTTGGAGGGGTTGCAGGAAAGCAGCCATGGTGCCTTGGCAATGATGTCGCGTAACTGGGAATTTGAGAAACCGTAGTTTCTAAAAAAGTTGGTAACAGAGTCAGGTTTTTCGGTGGTTTTGAAACAAAGACGGCGGATGGAGCAAAGTTTGGAAGCGAATTGAGGGGAGAAATCGAAAGTGTTGATGAGGTAGGAGACCTGGAATGAGGTTGAATCGGAATGCGGAGAGGATGGTGATGGTTGGAGGGAAGTTAAGCAGTTGAGATGGGTTAGGGTTCTGTTGGGCCGTGTATTGAACTTCAACCTGTTGATTGAAGGAAAGGGATATGAAATTATTTTTGTCATCGGCGGTGGCTGAAGGTTCGTGAATGGCGGCAGCTGAAGGTTCGTAAATGGCGGCGGCTGAAGGTTCGTGAATGGGATTGGGACCGCCATTCCAACACCCCTTGATTGAGGATAGAAATTGGTGACAAGAGGTCGAGTAATGGACGTTCGTTGCTACAACTATTTGGATAAGGTGAAGTATATATTGGCCAAGCAAATTCAAATATTGTTGAAATGAGAAACAAGTAAATTCACTGTAACATTTATTTTTACTTTTTTTTTATACTTTTTATACATTGTATTTTTTTTACTTTTTTTTAATTAATTTTTTTTGTACTATTTCTTAAATTTTTATAAATACTTTTTATGAAAATTTATTTATAAATTAATTATTAAAACAATAATTTAGGGTATAAAGCCCAGTGATCTTTTGCAAAGCCCAATTCATTAAGATTTGAAATTTGAAATGTATTGTGTGGAAAACATAAATACTTTCATTTGGTGAAACATTTACAACGCTTGCTTCATGTTTTTAGCTATTCTTGGTTGTCCACAAAGAATGTAAGAGGCTACAAAGTGCCAAAATAATTATCTACTTTAGCTCTTCTACTATTGTATTATGTTCCCATACTATAAATTAATGACTTAATTATGTAATTTTAAATGCATAATTAATTGGGTTGTTACCGTTGATATCAAAGGAGGTAGATCTTTGAGTCATCCGTGAGACATCAATAATTAGATTTGTTCTCGTGCATGTGTTGTTGTTATGAGAAATTATGTAATAATACCTAGTGTTAAGCCTGCTTGATATTTATGCGTATGAAAGACGATTACATGGAAGAGCAACCAAAAAGGTAAGGAAGTATGAAAATGTAATGATTGAAATTAATCATGAGGACACAAAAGACAAAATGACAAACTTGGATGTAAATAATTATCAAAGACAGGTGGCAAGTGATTCGTATTTAAAGCAATTGAGGAGAGGCGCAAGAGAGAGAATGTCAAACAGAAAATATGCATAAGAAGGGCAAGAATAATTAGGAATGGAGGGTGAAATATTTCTGAAAAACTTATTCCTTCTCTCTCTGTTTGTGGTTGAGTAGTACTCACCTTTCTATCATTACATTGTATTTAAAATTCCTCAAAATGGCTAGCAGTCGTACTTGTTAATTATACAGTGTGATATTGTTTATTCTGAGTGATATATTTCTGACCTTAACATTTGGTGCTCTCATTGACCATCGTATCATGGCGGAAAACACTAGGATGAAAACCATGGAAACTTCCATTACCAACCTCACTGCCACATTGACACAGTTCATGGAAGAGAACGCTCGCACACGTGCAGAAGATCGTGTTCGTATGGAGTGAGTTGAAAAACAACGCGGCCTTTTGAATACCACCAGTTCCGCCATATCCGGTGCGAAGAACTCTTCTCAGTCGTCACCATCTCAGCCATTTCAGGTCAGAAACGTGAAATTGGACTTTTCCCGATTCGAAGGCTCCGACGTGTTACACTAGATCTTCAAAGCAGAGCAATTCTTCGAGTATTATGCAACTCCAAATCCACAACGTCTCACCATTTATGTGGTTCACATGGACAAAGAAGTCGTGCCTTGGTTTTAGATGATGGCACGTCTCACCAGGTCAGTCGCTTTTTAAGCTTTTCCAAACAACCACCGTTGCTTCATATTACACCGCTTTCACCGCCTTAGCCAACAGGGTCGATGGACTTAGTCCTACTGCCACACTGGATTGTTTTATTAGTGGGCTGAAACCATATCTCAAACGTGATGTTGTGGCCCTAACCCTTAATTCCATATCCAAAGGCCTAGCCCTAACCAAATTATTTGAGGAGAAATACTCAGGCCCATCAAAAAACACTTATACGGCCCAATCCACCAAACCTTTCTCTATCGCCATTCACAGAAACACAAACTTGCCGCCATTACATCCGACACCACCGTCCAAACCACCATACAACCCACCTCGTAACCATAATGTAAAAAGTATCACACCAACTGAAATTCAACTTCGAAGAGACAAAGGTCTCTGTTACTATTGTGATGCCAAATTCACCATGTCCCACAAGTGCCCTAATAAACATCTATACTTGTTGCTAGTGAACAATGATGAGACCACTGAACCCCAAATTGATTTTCCCGACCGAACCCCACAAATCAGTGATCAAGACCAAATACCAGGGCATCATTTATCGTTCAATGCTTTGAATGGTTCGATGGGAGCCGACACCATGCGCTTTAAGGGGAACATACAAGGCATGGAGATTCAAGTCCTTTTGGATAGTGGAAGTTCCGACAATTTTCTGCAACCACAGATTGCTCATTGTCTCAAAATTCCAGTCCATTCTGCATGTAAATTCCAAGTGCTTGTTGGTAATGGTAGCAATTTAACTTTTGAAGGCTACATTCCCGATTTACCTGTCTCAGTTCAAGGTCATATGCTTCATGTTCCAGTGTACTTACTGTCTTTCACCGGAGTTGATCTAGTTTTGGGTGCCCCTTCGTTGAAAACATTGGGGCCGCATATAGATGATTACAATGCTCTATCCATTAAATTTTATCTGCAAAATTCGTTTATCACTCTCCATGGTGAACAATCTCCTACTTTGGGTCAATCCCAATTCCATCATATTCGTCGCCTTCAGAACACCAATTCCATTGTATCCTCCTTTATGCTACATTTCCAGAATGTGGGAACTTCAAATCAGTCAACACAATCTCTGCCAGATGACTTACCACCTGACTTACATGATCTGCTTTTAAATTTTATGGATGTGTTTGGTGAACCAGTGGGTCTTCCACCTCCTCGTGATCAGGATCATGTGATTCCACTGTTGGAAGGCAGCAACCCAGTTAAGGTGCGACCTTATCGCTACCCTCATTGCCAAAAGGAAAAATTGATAAAATGGTCAAGGACATGTTGACCCAAGGCATTATTCAGACTAGTTCTAGCTCATTCTCATCTCCATTTTTACTTGTGAAAAAAAAGACGACACATGGCGTTTTTGTACTGATTATCTCGCGCTTAATGCTATAACAGTTAAAGATAGTTTCCCTATCCCGACTATAGAGGAATTATTGGATGAACTCTTTGGTGCGATGTATTTTTCTAAACTTGATCTACGTTCCGGTTACCACCAAATTTTGGTGAAGTCTGAAGACCGGTTTAAGACAGATTTCCGCACTCATGAAGGGTTGTATGTATGGTTGGTCACGCCTTTCGGTTTATCTAATGCGCCAGCATCATTTCAGGGCCTCATGAATCAGGTTTTTCACAATCAACTCAGAAAATCTGTATTAGTTTTTTTTTACAATATTTTGATTTACAGTCCATCTTGGACAACACATCTGGAGCATTTGCAAGTCGTGTTAGAAATTATGCGCCACCACACCCTATTTGCCAAATTGTCGAAATGTTGTTTTGGCATGACTCGGGTGGACTATTTAGGACACACAGTCTCTAACCATGGAGTGGAGATGGATAATTCTAAGATTAAGGTTGTTATTGATTGGCCTCTTCCAACCAACGTCAAACAACTCCGGGGGGTTCTTGGGTTTTTCCAGATACTATCATCGGTTTATCAGAGGCTACGCTACCATTGCAGCCCCACTGACAGCTCTGTTAAAAAAAGACGCGTTTGTATGGCTTCCTCAAGCGGCGATAGCCTTTAATGCCCTTAAAGTTGCCATCACGCAAGCACCAGTCTTGGCCCTGCCTGATTTTAAGCAACAATTCACTCTTGAAACTGATGCTTCTGGGTCCGATATAGGTGTTATCCTCAGTCAAGCGAAACACCCAATTGCTTACTTTTCCAAAAAGCTTTCTCCAAGGATGCAAAACCAGACGGCATATGTACGCGAGCTCTATGCCATAACCGAGGCGCTGGCTAAATTTCGGCATTATCTTATTGGGCACAAATTCATCATCAAGACGGATCAAAAAAGTTTGAAGGCTCTGACAGATCAAACTATTCAGACACCGGAACAACAACATTGGTTGCATAAATTTTTGGGGTATGATTTCACCATTGAGTATAAGTCGGGCTGTGAAAATCTTGTTGCAGATTCTTTATCGCGTTCCTTCTTCTTGGCACTATCATCCCCGCATGCTTCTGTCATCAAATTGATCCATGATGCTGTTACTAAGGACCCCCACTTAGCTGACATTCGGAACCAATGTCTCATGGGTGTGTACATTGATCCACATTACCAAGTTCACCATGATATGCTATTATGGAAATCTAGATTAGTTGTGCCAACTGATAAGACTATTATTGAGTCCTTATTACAAGAGTTTCATGCTTCCCCTCTTGGCGGCCATGCCGGTATCAGCCGCATTAAGGCTAGATTGATGTCCCAATTCTATTGGCCCACGATGCACCATGACATCAAAAAATTTGTAACTCAGTGCTTGATTTGTCAACAAGCAAAAGCTTCCACTGCCCTACCTGCAGGTTTACTACAACCGTTGCCTGTCCCATCACAAATTTGGGAGGATATTTCCATGGATTTCATCACTGGTTTTCCTATTTCTCACTCTTACACTGTTGTGTTTGTTGTTGTTGATCACCTTTCAAAGTATGGTCACTTTACAGCTCTTAAAAGTGATTATTCTGCTGTTAAAGTAGTTGAGATTTTTATGAATACTATTGTTAAGTTGCATGGTTTCCCTAAGTCCATTGTTTCCGATCGAGACAATATTTTTACAAGTTAATTCTGGCAGCATCTATTTAAATTGAGTGGAACTACATTAGCCATGAGCACGGCTTACCATCCTTAAATGGGCGGTCAATCGGAGGCAGTCAACAAATGCTTAGAGATGTATCTGCGTTGTTTCACAAGGGAAAATCCTAAAGATTGGTCACGAGTGCTACCTTGGGCAGAATTGTGGTACAACACATCTTTTCATCACAGTATTGGCATGTGTCCTTTCAAAGCAGTCTATGGCAAGGAACCCCCGATGCTCATCAAGTATGATATGAGCCCTATAGATCCCCCTTCACTCCAAAGTTTACTGCAAGAACGCGATTTTGTGTTGGCCACACTCAAGGCTAACTTTCTTAAAGCACAACAAACCATGAAGAA